GAACACCATTCCCAGGCCACATTTTGAATGCCCGGAGCCAACTGTAGGCCACTTCGTGTTCTTCGTCTTCCCACAGCACCATTCCAAGGCCACATTTTGAATGCCCGGAGCCAGCTGTAGGCCACTTCGTGTTCTTCGTCCTTCCAGCCACCATTCCCAGGCCACATTTTGAATGCCCGGAGCCAACTGTAGGCCATCTCGTGTTCTTCGTGTTCCTGGAACACCATTCCTGTACCATATTTTGATTGCCCGGAGCCAACTGTGGGCCACTTCGTGATCTTCGTGTTCCCAGAACACTAATCCTGTGCCATATTTTGAATGCCCGAGCTTAGGCAGGCTGAGGCCGAGGCAGGCTGAGGCCGAGGCAGGCTGAGGCTGAGGCTGAGACAGGCTGAGGCTGAGGCAGGCTGAGGCTGAGGCTGACGCAGTCTGAGGCCCAGGCAGGCTGAAGTTGAGGCTGAGGCAGGCTGAGGCTGAGGCCTGCTGAGACAGGCTGAGGCAGGCTGAGGCTGAGGCTGAGGCTGATGCAGGCTGAGGCTGAGAGGCTGACGCTGAGGCTGAGGCAGGCTGAGGCTGAGGCAAGCCGAGGCAGGCTGAGGCTGAGGCTGAAGCTGAGGCAGGCTGAGGCTGAGGCTGAGGCTGTGGCTGAGGCTGAGGCAGCTGCGGCTGAGGCAGGCTGAGGCTGAGGCTGATGCAGGCTGAGGCTGAGGCAGGCTGAGGCTGAGGCTGAGGCAGGGCTGAGGCTGAGGCTGAGGCTGAGGCTGGGGGGCCGAGGCAAGCCGAGGCAGGCTGAGGCTGAGGCTGAGGCTGATGCTGAGGCAGGCTGAGGCTGAGACAGGCTGAGGCTGAGGCGAGGCAGCTGAGGGAGGCTGAGGCCCAGGCAGGCTCAGGAGGCTGAGGCAGGCTGAGGCTGAGGCAGGCTGAGACTGAGGCTGAGGCAGGCTGAGGCTGAGGCTGAGGCTGATGCAGGCTGAGGCTGAGAGGCTGACGCTGAGGCTGAGGCAGGCTGAGGCTGAGGCTGAGGCCGAGGCAGGCTGAGGCTGAGGCTGAAGCTGAGGCAGGCTGAGGCTGAGGCTGAGGCTGTGGCTGAGGCTGAGGCAAGCTGCGGCTGAGGCAGGCTGAGGCTGAGGCTGATGCAGGCTGAGGCTGAGGCAGGCTGAAGCTGAGGCTGAGGCTGCAGGCTGAGGCTGAGGCTGAGGCTGAGGCTGAGGCTGAGGCCTGAGGCTGATGAGGCTGAGGAGGCAGGAGGCTGAGAGGGGCTGAGGCTGAGGCTGAGGAGGCTGAGGCAGGCTGAGGCTGAGGCTGATGCAGGCTGCGGCTGAGGCAGGCTGAGGCTGAGGCTGAGGCAGGCTGAGGCTGAGGCTGCAGGCTGAGGCTGAGGCGAGGCAGGCTGAGGCTGAGGCTGAGGCTGAGGCTGAGGCTGATGCTGAGGCAGGCTGAGGCTGAGACAGGCTGAGGCTGAGGCTGAGGGCTGAGGCTGCAGGCAGGCTGAGGCTGAGGCCGAGGCTGAAGGCAGACTGAGGCTGAGGCTGGCTGAGGCTGAGGCTGAGGCTGAGGCAGGCTGAGGCTGAGGAGGCTGATGCTGAGGCAGGCTGAGGCTGAGGCTGAGGCTGATGAAGGCTGAGGCTGAGGCTGAGGCTGAGGCCGAGGCAGGCTGAGGCTGAGGCTGAAGCAGGCTGAGGCTGAGGCTGAGGCTGAGGCTGAGGCTGAGGCTGAAGCTGCGGCTGAGGCAGGCTGAGGCTGAGGCTGATGCAGGCTGAGGCTGAGGCAGGCTGAGGCTGAGGCTGAGGCTGAGGCTGAGGCTGAGGCTGATGCAGGCTGAGGCTGAGGCTGAGGCTGATGCAGGCTGAGGCTGAGGCTGAGGCCGAGGCAGGCTGAGGCTGAGGCTGAGGGCCGAGGCAGGCTGAGGCTGAGGCTGAAGCTGAGGCAGGCTGAGGCTGAGGCTGTGGCTGAGGCTGAGGCAAGCTGCGGCTGAGGCAGGCTGAGGCTGAGGCTGATGCAGGCTGAGGCTGAGGCAGGCTGAGGCTGAGGCTGAGGCTGAGGCTGAGACAGGCTGAGGCTGAGGCTGAGGCCGAGACAGGCTGAGGCTGAGGCTGAGGCCGAGACAGGCTGAGGCTTAGGCTGATGCTGATGCTGAGGCAGGCTGAGGCTGAGACAGGCTGAGGCTGAGACTGAGGCAGGCTGAGGCTGAGGCAGGCTGAGGCTGAGGCCGAGGCAGGCGAATCCTTCGGAATCCTTAGGATTCCCTAGGCATCCGTAGGAATCCCTAGGAATCCCTAGGAATCAGGATTCCTAGGGATTCCTAAGGTTTCCTCAGGATTCCTATGGATTCTTAAGGATGCCTAAGGATGCCTTAGGAATCCCTAGGAATCCTTAGGATTCCATTGGATCCTAAGGCCGTTGTCACTGCGACTGTCATTGCGAATGCGACTGCGACTGCGAGAACAGCAGAATTCTACAACTGGATTCTCACCTGAATCGTAAGGGGAATGCTTCCAGGTATGCTTATACACATCGCTGTTAGGTTGCTTTGCCTGGACAATGTATGCTATGCGATGTCATGGTGTACCGGGGTATGCTCCGTTGTCCTAGCGTGAAGAAGTTATGTTATGTGGTGTGATGTGATCTGATGATACGGTGTTGTGAAATGAGATGTAATGAAATGGTGTCTATGATTATAGTATGTTATGATGTGTATGCTATGGTCTGATCAGTGCAGTTGCTACGCTGTGACATGCTCTGCCAAAGTGCGTGTTTTTGAAATGTGTGCCTTGTTTGTTGTTTGTTCCTGATGTCGACTCTTCCTTTGCTCATGCGTCGTGCCGCCTGGACGATGTGACGCCTCCCCCTCGGCGCTGTCTAATACGCACGGTGCCGTCATCATTCGAGGACGCGAGGCGGGATACTCAGGGACTCCTGGGATCCTGTGGGGTCTGGCGACCGCGGTATGGTGTCGTCATTTGTCGAGGACGCGAGGCGGGATACTCAGGGATTCTCGGGATCCTGTGGGATCTGGCAACCGCGATATGCAGGGTGGGCAGACGGGTGACCTTTCTTAAAATCTAACAGCCCCAACCTGTCGGGTGAGGAATAACGCCAACAAGCCAAGCAACCCACAAACCCAACGTCAGGACGGATGGAGTGCAGATGGATGAGGCAGAGGAGGGAGGAGGGAGGGTTGGGCAAAGGTGAAATGTGAAACGGCCCATAAAACGGGCGGGATGGTCCATGACGGCCCCCGGATCCAGAAAGGGCCCTCAAGAGGCTCCCAGGAGCTCCCGAAAGGTCACTAGGAGTGTTCTCCACGAAGCCCCCAGGAGACCCCAACGAAAACCTTGAGAAGACTCGAGAAACGCTAACGAAGCAAAGACAACAATTAGGCAACGTCACGGCCACGCCTCACGACAGCACACAAACGGTGCTTCCCGGGCAACCGCTAGATGATTATACCGAGCAGTTTCGGAAGAGCTTGGTGGAAACATCGCGCCCCAACTGGCCCAAAAGCCCCTTATGAGCTCCGTAGGACCAGGCATCCACCGAGCCTCTCTGGGGGAACTCGATAAAACCATCCTGCATCAGCTTCGATACTGCGCGGACGGTTGCGGGGTTCGCCACAGGCAGCTGGACACTGTATCCCAGCCGGTCCTCCTCGCTGGGGACATACACTTCGTGCGAGCGTGTACCCAAGGGGAGTTGCCAACCCTGTGCGTATCCAGTGCAAACAGACTTTCGCTGCTTGCCAAAAACCAACGTAGCGACCAACACGACACATCTTTTAATCAAGCGTGTGGCCAACTACCAAACTGCTATCGCAGGAACATCGTCGATTCTTCCTGAAAGAGCCCCCAGAGCGCATGCAATTATAGTCAACAGATAGCTCGAGATCGCTAGAAGCTACGTTTAGGTCGGGCATGTTCTCCTACAGGCGGATTCTGGACGAGGAATGAAAACTAGTCAAACAAAAAAAAAACGTCAAAATAGTGGCACAATTGTCCCCAGACTATTGCTCGACTATTTTTGAATACTCCTCATGTAGAGGGACATGCCCGACTCGACGCTACGTGCAGGTGTCACACAAACATCCCTCATGCGAGCTCCGAGAGCGCATGCAACCATGAGATTGGCCGGCGGCGAGCGAGCGAGGGGAGGCGAGAAGGAGAAGGCCCTCTCAGAAGGCGGCGGGGTTTTTGGTAGGTGGATCTCTCAAGCTCTCCGCCGCCTCTGGCGGTGTGCGTTGCGATCCGGAACAAAAAAAAGGAGAAGGCCCTCTCGGAAGCCGATGCGCCTGCTGAGAAGTTTTCAACCGTGGATGGAAACAGTTCACGCGAAACTGATTCGTGCCATTCAAAGTCCGCGGGTTCCAGGCTGGGCACGATCGGCGGCCGCCGCCAATGCAAGAACTAAACGCGAACCACAAGAGCAATTTTGAATCCCCAGATTGGTGCGGCCCGGACTGCACTTGTTCTCTTTGAACGGCGGAACTCCGCGTTATGATTTGGTTTCGCGTTAATTTCCTACATCCACGGTGATATGTCTCCGGGAAAGGCGTAGAAAACTTCTCAGAGGGCCTGGGGACTTAGGCCCGCCCCAGACATCCGGCTGCTCCAATTTTTCCGACGCGCAGGCCCCGGATGTCCAGACCACTTCCCCCGGCCCTGGGGCCGGTTTTTCGCTCTGAGTCGCTGTTTGACGCTCTCGCTCCCAAATCTGTTCTGGAGCGTCGGATCTGGGGCCCCTCCTCGCTTCCCCCCCCTCGCTCGCCGCCGACCTGCTGAGCCGGATCGACATGGCCCGAGGCCGAGCGCAACCGCCTTCTGCAAGCGGGCCGCCGCCTCTCTGAACCATCCCGCACCGCGGCCACGAGCCCCGAATCAGTCGTGGGCAGTCGTGGCGCGCCCCGCCGGAGCTCGAGCGAAAGAGTTTTTTGGCGTTCGCTTCTCCTCCTCCTCCTCCTCCTCCTCCTCCTCCTCCTCCTTCGTCTCCCCTCGTTCTGTCCTCGTCCCGGCCCTGCTGCGGCACGAGACCAGGACGAGCGCGGCCCACGACAGCGCCCAAGCATCGCCTTTCGCTCGAGCCCTGGCACTCACCCGCCGTACGAAAATCGAGACCGCCGCACGCCGAGGCCCTCGCTGCACAGGACAGGGGGGCCGGGCCGCGCTGTCAGCGACCGGCGCCCCTCGACTCACCGCGCAGCGCGCGCCTGGAGGCGCGCGCACGGGCGAAGAAGGCCCCCCCAACGGGGGATGCGCCGCGGCCCCTGGCCACCCTCTGCCTCCTCTCGGGGATCTGCTCGGGGGCGGCCCAGAGGGGGGCGTCCAAGAGGGGGGGGGGGGCGCAAATCATGGCCAGCGGCATGTGCGCGGCCTTGGGGGGGGCCCGGGACGTAATGAAATAAGGAGAGGCGCCATGAGATCTGGGGAGATGTCATGGCCCACGCCATGATATCACCCCCCCCCCCCTAGCCATTACCCCCCTCTTTGCCGCCCCCGATCTGCTGCCGGGACCCCCCTCGCGCTGCGAAACAAAATAATCACGACGGGAGGTCTTTCGCTATCTCCGGCCTCCGGGGGGGCCCTTCCCGGGCCTCGCACCATCAAGAAGGAAGGGGTCCAGACCTCAGGTGTCGACGTGGCGAAAAAATCGCGACGTCGGGGGTCTGGGTGACCTGGGCCAATCCAGATCCGGGTCAATCAGGCTCTGCAGGATCCTGGAGGGTCCTGCAGGATCCTGCGCCCCAGCCCGGGTCAGTGCAGCCCTGGCTCTGAAGGATCCTGCAAGATCCGGCGCTCTGACTGACCCCCGTTTGCATTGACACCCGTCTCCTGAGCCCCGATCCTCCTTGGTCACCGGATCCCGGGCCTCTGGAGGTCTCCAGGAGTCTCCGCGGGAGGCCTCTGGAAGCCTCCAGGCCAGAGGTCCCCGTCCGCAGAGGCCCCCAGAGATCCACAGAGGCCTCTGGTGCGCACCCAGGGGCTCAAGCGGCCCAAACCGACCACCATCTGCGATCCTCCTCCTTCTCCTGCTCCTCCTCGTCGCTCTCCTCTTTCTCCGTTATCCTCTCTCTCCCTGCTCCTCCTCCTCCTCCTCCTCCTCCTCCTCCTCCTCCTCCTCGGGAATCATGAGGTTGTGGTTCGCAATCTTGAGGTTGTGGTTCAGAGTGGCCCTGTGCTGTGGCCTTCAGCGTATTAGATGCGCCTCTTGCTGCGGGCTCAGGGTTTGGCCGTTTGCTCACATACGCTTCCACTTCTCATCATCATAACGTTCCTCCCGCTCCTGCTGCTTACCGCTCCTCCCCCCTCCTCCTCCTCCTCCCTCCCTCCCTCCCTCCTTCCCTCCCTCCCTCCCCTTCTCTTCCATCACCCCTCCCCCCAACATCCCCGCTCCCTCTGGGAGGGGCGCGGGGAGGGGAGGGGAGAGGAGGAGAGGGGAGGGGGGGCGAGGGGAGGAAGGGAACGGGTGGGCAGGACGGGGACAGGGACGGCAGGGGAGGTGAGGAGGGGAGTCCGAAATGAGAGGGGGTGGAAAGGGGGGGGGACAAAGCAGGACGGCAAGGGGAACTGAGGGAGGGGAGGGAGAGAGGGAGGCGGGGGCATTGGGGAGGTCGCCCGTCCGCCCGCCCGCGGCGCCTGCCTGCCCTCAGAGTAACCTTTTCCGGGGCCTCCTGGGAGCAGGGCTCGGGACTCCTGCCAGCGGGCCTGGAACAGCCTGAGCCGTCTAAGCGAGCCGCCCCCGCCGCCGCCGCCGTCGCCGCCACCGCCGCCGCCGTCGTCGTCGTCGCCGCCGCCGTCGTCGTCGTCGTCGTCGTCGTCGTCGTCGTCGTCGTCGTCGTCGTCGTCGTCGTCGTCGTCGATCGCACGTCGAGGAGAGCGAAACCTGATGCGATTTTGGCCCCGTCTGGCCTCACGAGGCCTTCGGAGAGGGTCGACGATAGAGGCGCGTGGATCAAAATTTCTGGGCGTTTTTGGTCCGTCCTGCGTCTGGGCGGGGGCGCCCGTGGCTGGACCCGACTCAGGGTGCGGCGGTCGTCGCCGCCGCCGTCGTCGTCGTCGTCGTCGTCGTCGTCGCCGTGGCCGTCGCCGTCGCCGTCGCCGTCGCCGTCGCCGTCCGCCGTCCGCCGTCGTCCGTCATCCGTCGTCGTCGTCCGTCGTCGTCGTCCGTCGTCGTCGGTCGTCGGTCGTCGTCGGTCGTCGGTCGTTGGTCGTCGGTGTAGTCGGTCGTGAGTCGTCGGTCGTCGGTCGTCGGTCGTCGGTCGTCGGTCCGTCGGTTCGTCGTCCGTCGTCCGTCGTCCGTCGTCCGTCGTCCGTCGTCCGTCGTCGTCGCCGTCGTCGTCGTCGTCGTCGTCGTCGTCGTCGTCGTCGTCGTCGTCGGTCGTCGGTGGTCTGTCGTCTGTCGTCGTCTGTCGTCGTCTGTCGTCGTCGTCTGTCGTCGTCTCCGTCGTCGTCGTCTCCATCGTCTCCGTTTTCGTCCGTCGTCGTCGTCGTCGTCGTCGTCGTCGTCGTCGTCGTCGTCGTCTGTCGTCTGTCGTCTGTCGTCTGTCGTCTGTCGTCTGTCGTCTGTCGTCGTCGTCTGTCGTCGTCTGTCGTCTGTCGTCGTCGTCGTCGGGCGTCGGGCGTCGGGCGTCGGTCGTCGGTCGACCATCGAGAACGCGTCCGAGCCATTCGGGATTTTTGTTGGCCCGTTCCGGGCTTCCAGGGGCCTTCAAGCAGGGACCTCCCGGAGACCTCCGGGGAGTTCCGGGGACCCCCGGATGGAGTCGAACATCGCCAGGCTCTGGGGTCGCCGCCGCGGCCGCCGTCCGCGCCCGCACCCGCGCGTGGGACCGACCGCGTGCCCGGGGGGCGTGGGGGTGGGGGTGCGGAGGAGGCGGAGGAGGAGGAGGAGGAGGAGGAGGAGGAGGAGGAGGAGGAGGAGGAGGAGGAGGAGGAGGAGGAGGAGGAGGAGGAGGAGGAGGAGGAGGAGGAGGAGGAGGAGGAGGAGGAGGAGGAGGAGGAGGAGGAGGAGGAGGAGGAGGAGGAGGAGGAGGGAGGAGGAGGAGGAGGAGGAGGGGGAGGGGGAGGGGGGGGGAGGGAGGGGGAGGGAGGGAGGGAGGAGGAGCCCTCCCAATCCCCCCCTGCCCCCCGTGGCGCCGCGGGCCCTTGCCCTTGCCCCTGCTGCCGGGCAGCGCAGCGCTGGCGGACGCCAGACGCTAGGCGCCTTCGGGAGGGGGGCCGGCGCACGGAGGAGCAGCAGCAGCAGCACGGAGGAGGTGGAGGAGGATGAGGAGTGGGGAGGTGCGGGGGGGGAGGGGCAGCAGCGTGTGTGGCAGGGGCTGCAGGGGCAGCAGGAGCAGCGGCGGCAGGAGCGGCGGCAACAGGCCCAGGGGCAAGAGGCGAGGCGAGGGGTACAGCAGCAGCGGCGGCGGCAGCAACATCAGCAGCATCGGCAGCGAACGTCGTGATTCGTTCAACACGCGGCCCCCGACCTCGGCCCGAGGCTGGCGTTCCGTCCCAGATAGCCTTTTGACAGCCCCTGGGTCCGAAAGCGCCCCCCCGGGGGCCGAACATCGTGAACCCCCGGGTCTGATTTTTTCCAAAACGTCGGAGGTCGGGGTTCCCCGGTACTGGAACCTCGATCGTCCTCCGCCCTCCTCGACGGCGACGACGACGACCTTTCGCGGGACGCGTTCTGACCAGAATTGAGGGTGACCCAGCCGCGGCCGACCCGAAACCGAACACTTTGTGGAGCTCACGGCGCGATCGGGGCCAGGAGAGGCGAGGGCACGATCGGGGCGAGGAGGTTGATCAGGATAACGGGAATCCAGGAGGAGGAGGAGGAGGAGGAGGAGGGATGAGGAGGGGATAAGAGGGAGCAGGAGGGAGGACCAATGAAAGGGGAGGAGGATATGGAGGAGGAGGAGGAACCGAATCACATCAAATCGAAAACACCACGGCCGCAAAGTTACTTCGTGGACGCTCCCCCTGCCTCTGCGACCCCTGTCGAAAGCAGGGTGTGCTCCTCGACTCCTAAGCCCGAGATCCCGAGATGGCTTACATACAAGTGGGGGGGCCCATCCAGGGAGACCCCCCCGGAGAGGCTAACATTGACTTTCGTATTGTGCAGCCTCACCGGACGCTTGAGGCCAAGCACTCCCGGACACCTGAGGCCAAACTCCCCCGGACACTTCAGGCCAAACGCCCCGGGCGCCGAGCCCCCGCACCGGGGGGGGATTCTTTGCTTTTCCCCTCCAAATTTTCGCTTTTCCCCCTCCCGGAGAAAACAAATCGCACCCGCCAAGGGGGCCGGCCCACAACTTCGACTGAAAATGCTCAATGATGGCAGAACCCCCCTCCAAAGGCTCCTTAAGTGGTTAAACACATTTTCACAACCGAACAACCGCCCGAATTTCCGCCCCAGCCAGGGCGCGCGAAGCGCGTTTAACATCGCACTCGGACGTTCTGATTTCCTCAAGGGCCAGGTTGCCCGGGCAAAAAGCGGAAAACCCAGAAGGCGAAGTGCGGTTGTCTTCGCACGCTTGCCCCCGGGGCGAAACGCGGTTGTCTTCGGACCCACCGACGGGCAACAATACACATGCACCCCAGCTTGCCGCGCCTGACATGTGAAGATGAACTCTCCGCCCCTGGCGGGCGAAGACATCTTCAGGCTCTGGCGTCGCCTCCAAAACCCACCGAAGGAAGCGAGGGCCACCATCGAACACCCCTGAAAGGGTACCCGACCAGTCACGCACGGAAGACAGAAACCGACCCCTTTCGTACCAAAAGGGTAAGTTTTTCGCGGGGGGGGGAGAAGAGGACGTCTCTCTCTAAGGGGAGAAGGCGGGTGAAGAGGACGAGGGGGCTGAGGAGGGAGGGGGAGGGCGGGGGACGAGGAGCAGGAAAATGAGGAAAGTGGAGTAACGCGATATCCGCCCGCCGCCCTGACCGGACGGCGACAAACTTGCATCAAAATGGGTCGGCCTATCTGGTTTGTTGTATGCCGTTCGGTTTCTGGGTCGCTTCGGCGCTTTCGTCGCAAGGCCCTCGACCCGCCCCCGCCCGGGAGGCGACGCGGGGGGGCTCAGAATCAACCGAGCAGGTTTTCGAGACACGCCACCACGAGAAACCCTAAACCGAGCAACGGCGAGACGTGCCGAGACGCGTCCTCGACGCTCACTAAGGCTCAGGTTTGAATGCACGAGGAGCCCGTTTTCGAGACGGGGCTTTCATTCTTACCATTTTTCTCAATCGCTCTAGCCGCCACCCGCAACGCTCATGCTCCCTATTTCTCTCAATCGCTCTAGCCGCCACCCGCAGCCTTCGACGCGACAAACTGCTTTACTACTGTCGGCACGCTCATCGTTGCCGTGAGGCCGAAACCGCCTCCCAGAATATTCGCAGGGCGCAACATCGCAGTCACCGGCACGTCTGCCTGCGTCACCTGCGTTGACGCTGACGACGCAGGCCGCGGGTAACTGTGGGGCTCAGAGGGGGGCGGCGAGCTGCCTTCTTGGCGGAGGTCAGCAAAATGAAATTTCGCCGCGCCTTTACTAAGGCTCCAGCGGGCCGCTCAGCAGAAATCCTGGGTCGGGAATCGGCGCGCGGCGCCCGTGAACGTCGCGTGCCCTTCGGCATCGCGCGTCGCGGGTGCGCCCGCACCAATTGGACGCGCAGGCCGCGCGCAGATGGCCGCGCCCAGCTTCCGAAAAAATAGTGGAGGCATCTTTGTGCACATCCACGACTGAAGCGTCGGCGCGCATCCTTGGGACATTGCTCCCCGGCTGCCCACAGAGCTCACATGCGTCGCGCTTGCGACAATATGCGCTTTGCCTGCCCAGGGCCTAACATAGGCGGCTTCTTCAGGCCTTTCGCGCTGCTCCATGGGGGAACTTTAAGAAGCTCGTCTGCGAACGCGCGCACAGTGAAGTGCGACGTCTTGTCGAATCGGTGGCACAGCGCCTTCAACTTGACAGCCTTGGCAGTTGTGAAGGTCATCTTCTCCAAGAGGGTCTTCCGCCCGTTCGCCTTCACCTTGCCGTTCTGTGACAAGAGGTGCCGCGCGGCGGCCGCCCCCTCCTGCCGCTTGAGACGTCCCACTTGGAGTTCCTTTTTCCGGCGCCTCTCTTTCAAGCCGGACTGGAGGCGGTGTACTGTCATGTCTTTTTCGAGCCCTGTGTGGGCGAATACCATGCGCCGGAGGAACTTGTCGGTCGGGGTTGGGCTGTGCTTGTAAAACGTGGGCATGTCCGCCGCAATGATGTTGATGCGGCGTTTCTTGGCGAGCTCACACATGTCCTCGTTGACAGCCAAGTTTCTTGCCACCGTCCTCGAAGTCTCGAACAAAATGGTCCGAATTTTGCGCTTCGTTGCCTCCTTCATGAGCGCTTGGAAGCCTTTCCGCGATTCAGCTGGGAGAGACCCGCTGACAACTTCAGCCATCTCGCCGACGATGTTATGCATGTTCTGCAAGGCGTAGTTGTTTGCAGCATTTCGTCGGCGCGCGATGCCTGCGCGATCCTGATTTGCTTTCGAGCTCGTCCGGATGTAGCAGAGCGCCTTCCGGGAGCGAGTCGTTTTCTTATTCATGATCAGTTGGGCCCTTGTTGCTTGTGGGCGCCCTGGCCTCAATATGCGTTTGAAAGGCGGCCGCTTCTTCGTCGCCTTGCGGGCGTTCCCGAAAATCGGCTTCGCCATGGCAGCAAACTTGGAGCGGCTGGTAGCACCTAGCAAAATCCCAGCAGCCCAAATGGCATCGCATATTGAGCACCGAGGCGAAGGGGACAGGGACATTGGAAAGAGGGGGGCGGAGGCAGGGGGTCAGGATAATAACGACAAACACCTATAGCTTCAAAGGGTCTGGTACATGATTCCCCAATCAGAGCTTGCCTCTGTAGGGGTCCTAGCGGATTCATATGGTTAGGTTGACCGCGTCGCCGATTTCGGTGGCCGGGCCCGGATGCCTGGGTTCCCGGGGGTTCCCGGGTGCCCGGGGGAGCCCGGGATCCCGGGTGCCCTATAGCCCTATAGATAGCCTTATAGGCCATATAGCCCTACAGCCCTACAGCCATCTAGCCCTATAGCCCTCTAGCCCTCTATAGCCCTACAGCCCTGTAGCCCCATAGCGCTATAGCCTTATATATCGCCCTATAGCCCTGTAGCCCTATAGCCCCATAGCCCTAAAGCCCCTACGGCCCTCTATCCCTCTAGCCCTGTAGCCCTCTAGCCCCATAGCCCTATAGCCCTATAGAACTATAGCCCTTATAGCCCTATAGTCCTATAGCCCTAGAGCACTATAGCCCTATAGCCCATATAGCCCATATGGCCCATCTTGCCCATATAACCCTACAGCCCTATAGCCCTATAGCCCTATAGAGCTATAGAACTATAGACCTATATGCATATAGCCCTATAGCCCTACATCCATACAGCCCTATAGCCCTTAGAGCCTTAGAGCCCTACAGCCCTACAGCCCAATAGCCGAATGGCCCTACAGCCCTAGCCCTATAGCCTTATATCGCGATAGCCCTATAGCCCTGCGGCCCTATGACGATATAGCCCTAGCGCCCTATAGCCCTACAGCCATATGGCCATATATCCCCATAGCCCTATATCCCTATAGCCCTAGCCCCTTAGCCCTATAGCCTCAAAGCCGTAGCCCTAGATACAGCCCTATAGCCTTACAGCCCTATAGCCCAATAGCCCTCTAGCCCTATATCCCTATATCCATATAGCCCTATAGCCCCATAACCCGATAGCCCTATAGCCCTACAGCCCTATAGCCCTATAGCCATATAGCCATATAGCCCTATAGCCCAATCGCTTTGTAGCCCTATAGCCCTGTAGCCCAATAGCCCTATAGTCCCAAAGCCCTATAGCCATATAGCCTCATAGCCCCAAACAAAATCTGATTCTGGGTTTTCTCCGGCATTATTGATTTGCAAAGCGCAACAAGGGGTGACATGATTTGGCGGTCTCGGGTGAGAGATGAGGGGAGGGAGAACCAGGTGGAATAGCGGGAGGAGGAGGACAGGAGGGGGACAGGAGGGAGAGGATGCGGAACGGGGGGGGGAGGGGGAGGAGGAATCGGAAGAGGGGGCAGGAGGAAGAGGAAGCGGAGGATGATGATGCATTCCGGGGGGGAATCGGGCGCGCTTGCCCGAACCCTGCCCCCAGCTTCCCGCCTGAGACCCGTTCTGACCCCCTGGGTCGCGCGTAGCGTGATGGTACGAAGAAGTAGGTGCACAAGGGAGCCAAGTGAACGGGCGAGGGCGAAAGAGAGAGAGAGAGAGAGAGAGAGAGAGAGAAAGAGAAAGAGAAAGAGAAAGAGAAAGAGAAAGAGAAAGAGAAAGAGACAGAGACAGAGACAGAGACAGAGACAGAGACAGAGACAGAGACAGAGAAAGATAAAGAGAAAGAGAAAGAGAAAGAGAAAGAGAAAGAGAAAGAGAAAGAGAAAGAAAAAGAGAAAGAGAAAGAGAGAGAGAGAGAGAGAGAGAGAGAGAGAGAGAGAGAGAGAGAGAGAGAGAAGAGAGAAGAGAAAGAGAGAGAGAGAGAGAGAGAGAGAGAGAGAGAGAGAGAGAGAGAGAGAGAGAGAGAAAGAGAGAGAGAGAGAGAGAGAGAGAGAGAGAGAGAGAGAGAGAGAGAGAGAGAGAGAGAGAGAGAGAGAGAGAGCGAAAGAGGAAGAGGAGCGGATGCAATGACAGAAGGATAGCGAAAGAGGGACTAGAAAGGAGGGGATCCATCATGCGTTTTTGCGCTCGCCTGGGCTGCCCCCCCCGGCCGCAGGCCCTGGGCAAAGAGCTCAGCCGTAGAAGCCGACCTGGCTTTTCACTGCCTCGGCCGCCTCCGAAGGCATGACCTCGATCTTGTGGGCTGCCTTTGAACGGGGCAACTGATGTCGATGCTGCTGGTCGCCCTGGAGAGCCTTCGACGCCGCTGCTGGATTATCTTCGGAATTCTCGTCAGAACGCCCCCCATGAGTAGCCCACGGAGAAGCGGCATCGGAACCTGTTCGCCCCCCCCACCAGCCTCGTTTGTGGCCTTCCCGAACGCCAGCGTCTGGCACATGCTAATCACTTTGCATGTGTTCCCCGCGGTGTCCCCGCTCTGCACCTTCTCTGCCAAAGCTGTCAGCTCCGGACGCGCCGCCTCCGGCACGTCAAGGGCCAGAAGGTGCTCCTGGAAAGCGGCGCGCAGGCTCTCGAACGCGTGCTTCTTGCCCAGGGCGGCGCAGAGCTTGAGGTAACCGTTCGAGTTCGCGCTCGACTTGAGACTGCTCTCGCCCTCGCCGTCCTTGCCGGCCGCCCAGCCGAGAAGACCGAACCAACGCGAAAAGTGCGTACTGTCGAGCTTCCAGGAGCCCGGGATGCAGACTTTGAGCAAGACAGGGAATGATAAGTTCGACAATGATCAAAACATATATTTATTTGTCCTTCTGCCCCCCCCCCGCCCCCCCCCCCCCGTTCCCTCGGTCGGCCCTGGGCCCCGGGGCCCTCGCAGCCCGCCAGACCTGGTCCTCCGCCAGCGGCGGCGCGGGCGACTCATGGCGGAAAGCCGCGAGACACCCGAACGCCGTCGAGCCGGTGACCTTGTTGACGTCCGTCGTGGGCCGCTGCGACTTGCCACTGGGCAAGAGCCTGCGCGGGACGAACCGGGAGGGTGTAAATTCCAGCGCCATGCCGGAGAGGTGTTGGCCATCCCTGAAGGTGCACACCAGCTCGAAGATGTCGCAACCCTCCTTCTTGAGGAACGCCGCGGCGTGCCTCAACCAAGGCGCGCACCGAACAGCGAACCCGACGCTGACCACGCCCATTTTCACCCACGTGGGCAGGCCCAAGCCGGACACGGCCCGCAAGAAGCGCTTGGCCTCCTGGAGAAGAGGGCACTGCCTGACCAGACCCTTCACTTTCTCCTTGGTGACCCGGTGCAAGAAGGTCATCTTCTGGGCATCCTCGAGGGCGAACGGCTTCTCCGGCCCGCCGCCCCGACGCGCAAGCCACGCGGGATTCGTCATCCTTTAGGGCACCTCCTCATACCAATAATTATAGCGGTCACCCCATCGGGGGAGGGGAGGGTGTAGGGAGAGGGATGGGCATGGATAATTAACCTTTCTGAGCGTTCCACCCCCCCTCAGGATCCCCATGAGCACCGGGGTTCGCAGCTTGATGCCTGTTACCGACGCCGCGTATTCGGCAAGCAGCGTTGCCCCCGGGTCCGCGGCGCGGCTGCGCAAGAGCTCCCGAAAGGCGCCGAGCAGCGCCTTCTCCTTTCGAACGGGTTTGATGCGGACCTTGAGGATTGCCAGGGCTTCTTTCTGCTGCTTGGACGCGCTGCTCCTCTTGACGCCCTTGGCGAGCTCGGCCAGACGCTCGGCGAAAGTCCGCTTGTTCCCCCGCCCGCCCTTGAAGACGACCCGTTTCTTCATCGTCGGGGCCGCGCGCGTGCCAGGCTTGATCCCGGTCACATCTTCTGCTCGGATATCCGAGCAGGACATGTGAAGGGGGTCGGCCCCGGCCGCTGTCTGGGCCAATTTGCGCGCGCGCTCTTGCGATGGCGAGCGAGGGCCTGCGGCAGGGGCCGATCCCCTTCACATCCTCTGCTCGGATATCCGAGCAGGACATGTGAAGGGGCTCGGCCCAGGCCGCCAGCCCGAGCCAACTTGCGCGCGCCCTGCGATGACGTACAGGGGCCTGCGGCAGGGGCCGACCCCCTTCACATCCTCTGCTCGGATATCCGACCAGGACATGTGGGGGGGGGTCGATCCCGGCCGCCGGCCTGAGCCAACTTGCACGCTTGTGCGATGGCGACCGGGGGCCTGTGGCGGGGGCCGACCCCCTCCACATCCTCTGCTCGGATATCCGAGCAGGACATGTGAGGGGGGTCGGCCCGGGCCGCCGGCCCGAGCCAACTAGCGCGCACTTGCGCGATGGTGAGCGGGGGCCCGCGGCGGGGGCCGATCCCCTTTCACATCCTCTGCTCGGATATCCGAGCAGGACATGTGAGGAGGGTCGGTCCCGGCCGCCGGCCCGAGCCAACTTGCGCGCGCGCCCTTGCGATGGCGAGCGGTGGCCTGCGGCGGGGGCCAACCCCCCTCACATCCTCTGCTCGGATTTGCGCGCGCGCAGTGGCCTGCAGCGCAGGGGCCAACCCCCCTCACATCCTCTGCTCGGATATCCGATCAGGACATGTGAAGGGGGTCGGCCCCGGTCGCCAGCCCGAGCCAACTTGCGCGTAGGCGCTCATGCGATGGCGAGCGGGGGCCTGCAGCGGGGGCCGATCCCCTTCACATCCGCTGCTCGGATATCCGAGCAGGACATGTGTGGGGGGGTCGGTCCCGGCCGCCGGCCTGAGCCAACTTGCGCGCGCGCTTTTGCGATGACGAGCGGTGGCCTGCGACTGGGGCCGACCCCCTTCACATCCTCTGCTCGGATATCCGAGCAGGACATGTGAAGGGGGTCGGCCCTGGCATCCTACAACCTTAAACCCTTAAACCTTCAAACCTTAAACCCTGGAACCCTGAAACCTTTAAACCCTTAAACACTTAAGCCCTAAAACCCTTAAGCCATTAGACCCTTAAGCCCTTACACCCGTAAACCCTTAAACTCTGAAACCCTTAAACCCTTAAGCCCTTAAACCCTTCAGCCCTTCCCTTACACCCTTAAACCCTTAAGCCCTTAAACCCGTAAGCCCTTAAACCCTTAAGCCCTTAAACCCTTAAGCCCTGAAGCACTTAAACACTGAATTAAGCCCTTACCTAAGCGATGACAGCGCAACCCCCAGGTACCGCCTCTCGAACTCAGCGAAAGGTTGGCCGAACAGATGGCGCCGCAGAAACCGACCCCTTTGGGTTGAAAAGTGTCGGTTTTCTGGGCCGACCACCGTGCCCAAAACAAGAGGAGGATGTGTCGCCGAAGCCATTTGGGCTCAATCCGTAGTACTTCACAGCTTGCCATGAGTTCCAAGGGATCACCGTGGGTGTCATGCGTGCAGGATGCGGTGGGGAACCCCCTTGATGGGTGGTCCCGGGGCTTGGTGATAGCGTCGGACTGCTCGGGATGCGGGACCGCGGAAGTGGCCTGGGCGCAGGCCAGCCAGTCCAGGACCACGCACCTCTTCACTTGCGACTTGAAGCCCGCCTGCCGCCGGATGTTGGACGCCGTAGTGCCAGGCGCTCCTGTACTTGCAGATGTCACGCAGCGCGTCTTCGAAAATGGTCGCATGGTGGCTCGGCTCGTCGACGGGAAGCCATACGTGCTCAATACTCCTGCTAAGGCTTTGGACTTGTACGTGGCTGGCTTCATGTGCTCTCCTTTCTCAAAGCTTGGGGAGCGGCAGGGTTTCCAATCAGAAGCGGCAAAGACTTTCTTCGGAGTCTTGAAGACGATCGCTGCCACCCGCCCGAGGGCAGCTATACTGGAAAACGTGGAAGAGATTCGCGACCCCGACAACACGGCCCAGTTCCACGTAGCCCTGGCGAGCCTCACAGGCTACGCGCGGCAGGAGTTCGTCCTCAAGAGCCAGGACTACGGCTTGCCGCAGCATCGGGTGCGCTTGTGCATCGTTCTGTTGCGCGCGGGCCAGACCCGCCATCCCGCAGCTGCAGACGCTTTGAACCAGATCCGGCACTTGTTGAAACATTCTGAATGCCCTGAGCCGGGGCCGTGGCATCAGTGGTTGGCCGACAGTGGGTTGCCGATGCAGGCTGAGGCGAGCACTTGCCCGTCGGGCCCATGCGAGGGTTGCAAGGAGATGGGCCCCGTGCGCTACAGTTTCCACAGCAATTGCAGCGCCCACCCATGCCGTTGCTTATCGTGCAAGAGGGGCGGGAACAAAGGAAAGAAGCCTCGCCCGAAGTGCTCGTGGCGCCGGCGATGCGAGATCCTGTTCGCCAAGACCAAGAAGGCCAGGGTGAAGTATCCGAAAGTTTGGCGAAAGTTGACCGGTAATCCAAAATTGAAGCAGGCGCCGAATTATTGGCGCCTCGCGGCTTCGAAGAAGATCTTGGTATCCCCCGAGGTGTCGAGATCCCCAAGCAGACGCAAGCTCGTGACGGTCTTGTCAGAGTCGCTCAACTTGATGAAGCCTAACATGATCCTGAACGCATCGCAGTCCGCTGGGCGGCATCAGCTGAGGGAGGACGGGCTGGTGCCGACGTTGTCTCATACATGCGGTTGTCTATTTGCCCCTGCCTTTGGCGCTGTCCTTTCCCCGGCACAATGCCTGGCGCTCCGGGGCATGCCGGGGCGCTGCCGCTTGGTATGTTCAGCGACAACGAGTTGTACTCCATGGCCGGGATGGCCATGTCGGTGCCTGTCGTGGGCGCGCTCATGATGGCCGTGGTCAGCCAGTTGAAGCCTTGCTGATTTAGTTCCGCGAGCTTCTTGCCCGGGGCCTTGCCCGCGCACGTGCTTGGGGCCTTGCGGCGCTGCTACCCCGTCTCGTGTTTGAGGCCTTGCGCGTTCGTCGGCATACGTCCTTCGAGCGGCGGGTGCAAGGTTGAAGACCGCGCATTCGGGGCGCGCAACTGAAGGGCAGGTCCGCATCCGGATGCATAGAACGAACGCCACCGTTGCGCTGGGGGTCTCAAGCGGTGGCCCAACTGAGGAAAAGCAAAAAAAATGCGGGTGGAGGGGCCCTTGGCGCTCTCGAGGCCGTCGTGTGGCACTCCTTGGCCCCTCATGGGACCCTCTTGGGCCATATTGGAACTGCTTTGAGGCCTCAAGAGCCATTCGGGAGCGAAAAGGCAAGGAGGCCAACAACCATGAAACATATAACATGCAAGGTGTTTGAAGGATTTGGGCCTCTTGGGGTCCTCCTTGGGGGGATCCGTGGCCGCTTGGAACCGCCATGGAGCGGTCTCGGGGCTCCTTGGATACACGTTGGAAAGTATATCAAAACATTTTGGGCCGGGCTATCTCGAGCGATCCATAGGGCCGCCCGGGATTATCTGGAGCTTGGAGCCATATGGAGCCAACTTGGACGCTCTAACCCATCGCGGGGCGCCCCGTCCAGACCCAGGGAGAGGGGGCCCTTCCAGACACATGGGGAGGGGGTATGGGGGAGGGCGTAGGGGGAGGGGGGCCCCCTCCCCGAAGGGGAGAAGGGGGTTGGAAGAACGAGCCCCCTAAACCACCTCACGCCCTAAAGGGCGGGTGGATTTGTTTGCGTCGATTGCCCTGCGCATTGATGACAGGGGGCAGCGGCGTCGGCCCCCGCGAGAAACCGACCCACTTCTGTTGAAATAAGCCGGCGTCTCTCCCTTCAACGTCCGTTGCATGAGGGGCAGCGCAAGGGGTGCCACCCCCTCAGGAGCTGGCCAAGAGTCGGTTACAGCTTATCGGTTGCTGCCCCCTGATCTTAAGTAGGGGATGGGCGCCAACCTCGGCCCCGGCGAAAAAGCGACCCATTTCATTTGAAATTTGTTGTTTTCCCCTTCTGTGTATTTTGTCAACCGCGCTCCTCCGCCCAGCCCGCCCTCGTCTCTGGCCCTCCAGTCTCTGTTTTTGCGATGGCTCAAGAAGATGACTCTTCGCTGTGTCTTCAACGACCAAGCTAGGGCAGCCATGGCGGCTAACCTGCCGCAGTTAGGTTCTAAGCCCGGGTGGGCATTCGAGGACTTCTTCAAGTTAGATCCGACAGAGGAGCATCGCCTCAAGATGGGGTTGGCGATCCACCTGAAGCTCCAATACGATAATATCAACATGGGCGAGCCTTGCGCCGTCTCGGTTGACGGCGTTCAGGCCTACAAGCCCGACGTGATCGCGGACGCGCACAAGAAATATTTGCAAGCTGTCTCGACGAATACGCCCCCGCAGGACCCCACGGTGGCTACGGTGATTAGCGCGCTCCAGGCGAAGTGGCGCATGCCAAGGAAGGCGTTCAACCTAGGGTACGTGAAGGATTGGATCACCAAGAACGTCGAGAAGTGGGACCCCAGCATAGAGAGACGCGCCGGCGGACTGCAGGACGATACGCCCTACGGGGCGCAGCACCTCACCCTGAGCAACCAGAGCTCGCTGTTCGGGCTGTTCGCGCTCGGCGCGATGCAATTCCTGCACGCACGTGGAGGCCGCCTTCAAAAGCGTCCGTGTGATGCTCTTCTTCGGCGCTGAGGGCGAAGACGTCGAAGTCCTCAACGCCAACGAGAACATCGCCAAAGAAGAGTACACAAGCGGCACTGCGAGCTCGAAAACATCATGGTGGTCCAGCAGTGGTGCGAGAGTATGCGGACGGCAAGGCCTTTGGACCCGACGAAGGCGCTCGACGTCTTCAAGTTCTCGGCAGTGCTGGGCGACCCTCGTCAAAAGGCGCCGCGGTGGCTAGCCCGCCTCCTCGGCCAGAAGCCGCCGACGCGCGCCAACAAGATTGCAGCGGTCACGCAGAAGGAGGTCACGTCGCGCTGGCTCGGCGAGAACAAGGTGGTAGCGGCGCACGTGCAGATGAAAAGTTTCCAGGAGCTCCCGCTCCGCGTGCGCTTCCTCAAGGGCTTCTCAG